GGACATTGGGTTTGAGGGCTTTTTCTGTTCTTTTTTTGGGGGCTTGGGACCTGGGGCGGAATTGCTAACCTTTTGGGACGTGGGGCCCGGCTTGGGTCATTTTTCAGTCCCTTTCTCCCTCCAGGATTGGTCCTAGAGCTCTATTTCCCTGTTTATCCCCATGCCTTCCTACCTCCTGGCCTTTCCAGGCAGCTCCCTCTTCCTGAAGTGGGTCTGCGGTCCACTCCGACTCCTTAGGTGTCACTTTTAATTTTAGAGGGGGGGGGGGGGGAGAGACATCGATTGGTTGCCTCCCATAGGTGCCCCGACCAGGCTGGGAATCGGGATCAAACCTGCCACCTCTCCGTGTGGGGAACGACGCTCCAACCACCTGAGCCACCCGGCCAGGGCCTTACGTGTAACTCCTAGCTGTCCTTCAAAGCCCCTCTGCATGAAGCTTTTCATTTTTCCATTCTCCAAAGCTAAGAAGTATTCTATGCTGAGCCTCCCAGAGCCTCCCCTTTTATCACTTTTAAACCCAAAATTATAGTTCTTTGCGTAGATACCTCTTTTGCGTGACACCAAGTGCCCTGTGGCAGGATCTCTGCCCCGTTCACCTTTGTGTGGTCAGCATCAGCTCTGGGCCTCACGTCTGCTAATAGCGGCTCCTCCAGTCCTCGGTGGGGCCTGAGGACACAGCTCAGGAGGGACGGAGAGGGGCTGGCAGGTCGCCTGGGGACAGGACATCCTAGTTGCAGGTAGTTTCTACACGTCAGATGCAAGATAAACCCTTTCTCCCCCAGCGAGTCAATAGCAAATAGTCTTCAGTGACCTCAGATTGACGGTCATACCTCTGCCTTGCATGCACTTCCCCAGGCCCACTCCTCGGCTGCTGTGCACGGCTGCAAAGCAGAAGAACAGTGGCCAGAACTTGGAAGAGGACTCGGGTCAGAGTGACCAGAAGACGGACACTCCCTGTGCAGAGAAGACGCTCATGGAGGAGAAGGCCAAGTTAGAGGAGCAGCTGAAGGACACCATGGTAAGGCGGGCTCTGGGGGAGATGGTCAGTTGAGCGCCAGGCGAGTTCCTAGTTTGCCCAAGGACTACGGCTGGGGCCAGTAGCGTGCTCCTGCTAAGGAAGGGGCTAGAGCCCAAGGCCTGCGCGGCTCTGGCTCTGTCGTGAGACTCATGGTTACGTGCTACGTAGATTGCGTTGAGCTAAGATTTAATTGGTCTTTACGTACAAGGAATACCAGCATGGCTGCTGAAGCTGGGCCTGCGGGGAGGCAGCGGTTTGCGGACTCGGCAGTAATGTGGATGCATGGTCAGTTCCTTCAGGATTTAAGGGCAACACCAGACACGTAGGTGCTGACATGTTCCAGCGCCTTTATGTATGTTAATCCTCACAGGCTCCAGTAAGGTCATTGCTAATGTCCCTGTTTACAGACGAGGAAGCTGAGGCACAGGAAAGTTAACTTCCTAAGGTCGCCTGGCTACTGAGCGCCAGAGCCAGGGTTTGAGCCTTGGAGAGCTTGCCCTTGACTGCACTGGAATTGCCTGAATACAGACCGAGAACGGGGGTTAGAGTCACTCCCCCACCCCCCAGAGCAATCTAGTCCACTCTAAAATTGAATTGATGGGGCAAAATGTGAGATTACAGTCAAGTGGTGAGGCATGGGGACGATCCCATAATTCAGATGCTTATACACAGTAAGTGTTGGAACTCAGCCATGCCTGGGCAACAGTGAAATACAAAGGGTCATTGATGAGCCTTTATCTCTTCACTGGGATGCGGCCTAAACTCCACCAGGCTTATGGGAACCGGTGGGTCAGCCCCTGAGGCTGCTGGGATCCCCTTACGTTGGAAACTTGGTTAAGGAAGTGAATGGTGATGAGGCCATCAGGGCCCCGAGAAAGTGGTTTTTCTTCTTCTTTCCCAGCTGTCACTGAGTAAGAATGGCCATGGGGCTACATAGACATCTGTCGCCTTGACGTCCTCCTCCCTCGCTGGGAAGTGACCGGGCGTAACTCACTTCTAAGTTAAGCTGCACTGTCTGTAGTCCAGTCTCAGGCATAAGAATAGGTGGTGTTTGTATTTTGACTTGTGGTTTGTTGTGTCAGATTTGCTTTCCTATGAATTTGTTCCATGCTTTATTCATGTAAGTTTCCTTTTTCTTTTTTTAGGAAAAATATAAGCGAGCTTTGGCAGATACTGAGAACTTGCGGCAGAGGACCCAAAAATTGGTGGAGGAGGCAAAATTATATGGTAACTTCTAACACTGTATGACGCTGATCTGGAAAAATGTGGGTGTGTGTGTATCAGAAAGATCAGCCAGGGCGGGTGCCTGCCGGTTGTCTTCCCCTGTCCCCCCTTTTAAGGAGAAACTGGAGTTGTGACTGGCACGTAGAATCGTAAGCAGGAGGCCTCCGCTCTCCACATGGAGCCTCGGTGTGGACCTGCGGTGATCCTGGCAGGTCGGTCGGCCTCTCTGGTGTCGTTTCCTTGGCATCACCAGCACCACACTGGTACCACTGAGAGCTCCTCAGGTGCTGTCTGTGTTGTCACCTTTGAGTATTTGTCCCTGCCCTTCCCACTTTACAGTTGAGATGACTGAGGCTTCGTGACCTGCCACTCATCACAAAGCTGGCGGTGGCCCCGCGCTCCTACTCGCTGTGCTTATTAGCCCGCGGCCGCCGTTGGTTCCTGCGGGGCGGGGCCTTGGTGGAAGCAGGTGCCAGTGTGGGTGCTCTCGCCATCCCTGACTTCCGGTCGGCATGGGAACCTTTTTTTTGAAACCACAAAAATTATGTAATACACTGCCTTGAATTTTGAGTGGCCTTTCTAACGTTCTGTCTCCTGTTAGGTGAAGGCGAAGTCTTGGTAACTCTTACCCCACAGTGCCCAATAGTTGCTAACATGGAACACGTGTAGTGTCCCAGGCCCTCGAAGCCTGCGTGACCCTTTCGGTCCTCCCACCGTCACTGGGAGGGGGCTGAGACCCAGCGAGGCTGACCAGGACCGCACAGCAGCTAAGTCGCTGCCAGGGATGTGCCCCAGGCCCTGTGCAGTCTGGCTGTTGGGGGAGCAGGCGGGTCTCCTGGACTGAAGCAGGGCTGAGGGGGGTGGTTCTGCACATTTTCAGCTGCCAGTCTTCACACCTAATTAGCCCTTGTCTAAACCCAGAAAAGGCTGGGGGGGGGGGGTGGTATTTCCTTCTCAGTCAAGCCATTGAAGTTAGTTTTGAGTCGCCCACTCAGTTGACATGGGTGGATGCAAATGTTCTTCTTGGACTCTGCAGGCATCCAGGGCTTCTGCAAGGACTTGTTAGAGGTCGCGGACATCCTGGAGAAGGCCACACAGTGTGTCCCCAAAGAGGAGATCACAGAGGACAACCCGCACCTGAAGAACCTCTACGAGGGGCTGGTGATGACCGAGGTCCAGATCCAGAAGGTGTTCACGAAACACGGCCTGCTCAGGCTGGACCCCGTGGGCGCCAAGTTCGACCCCTACGAGCACGAGGCCTTGTTCCACGCGCCGGTGGAGGGGAAGGAGCCGGGCACGGTGGCGCTGGTGAACAAAGTGGGCTACAAGCTGCACGGGCGCACCCTGCGGCCCGCCCTGGTGGGGGTGGTGAAGGAAGCGTAGCTTCTCTCAGGGCTGTGGGTTTGGGGTAATCACTGGCGGTAACTCTAAAAGGATGGTTCGTCCGTGAATACTCCAGACCTTTCCCAAACCTTGTTGGAAAGCTTCAGTAACCAGCGGCTAACCAGGAAAGTGGGCCCATTGCACAGCTGTTACTGGACTCTAATTTGGGAGCCTGTTGATTGATTTTCAGTACATGTTTAATAGTTCACATGCTTACAAAACAGGCCACCACTGGGCCCTCGGGTATCGTGAATAATACTACATCTGCTCAAAGTCTGATGACACCAAAGTATTTAAAACAAATAAAAGGTCTCTGGGGACTGTGCTGTCTGGCTAGGGCCACGCCATCTGCCCTGTGCGCCTCTGCTTCTCGCTGCCCTGCGAGCTCGGCAGTCCTCAGCCCTCTGCACCTCACTCGGGAGGAAAGGCAGGAGTGTAACTGGGTTCTTGCTCAGAACACTTGTGTGTGCTGGGGGAGGACAGGCGCGTCCATCTAATCGCCCGCTGGCTTTTCTTTGGAGGCACCTTAACCATTCTCCCCTAGAGTAAGACGGATGTGACAGAATCAGTTACTCTTGTCCTGTTTTGTTCAAATACGTGTAGAAATGTTTGTGTCTTATATTCAGCCAGGTACTAATGACCTGAAGGTAGGTCCCTAGTACGATGGTCTTTCTCAACACCCGAGGGCTGCATGCTTGGTAAATTTTAAATGTGAATGTTTAGTTTTTAAATCTATTGAAGAGGATTAAAGCCCCAATGTTTATTTTCCTACTTTCTGATAAGTCTTTTGCGTACCTTGGTGGCGATCCTTACTAAGGGGAGCGTGACTTGGCTGTGTGCCCGATGCAGACACGTGTTTGCTTCCATCCGTGCCCTGCAGGCTGGCGTGGGACTGGCCTGCTCCGGGTGGACGTGTCTGCCTAAGGACCGTGACGGGACCACACACCCGGGACCCACGGCAGGAAAGTCTGCGGAAGCTGGCCTGTGACTCGCCATAGGACCCTCCGTATCTGTTACAAACAAAAAACAGCTGCTACTGCCTTGGCCTAAGGGGTGCGGAGAAAATATGAGGCAATTTTACTTGGCTGATCATTTTGAAAGATGTAATATTCCCGTAATTAAAATTTCAATATGTATAATTTCAAACACTTTTCTCCTTCAAATAGTTTTTTGTAAGACATCCCAGAACTAAAGGCCGGGGCCCCGCCTCACGCTGAGGGACGGGACTGGGAGTCGCAGCTGTGAGGGCCCCCCTTCCCTCCTGCACTCGCTGGGAGGGCGGGCTGCACAGAAGTCGTTGCAGATCACTCCTGTGCGTGTGCAGCCCTCCCGCCCGCCCTGTGTAGAGCTAGCCCAGCTGAGACGGGCAGGCAGCCCGCTCCACTGGGAACCCAGCTCCTCACTAGCCTCAGCCATCGTTTCCCATTCACGGGGGACGCCCCACGCACAGCACATCCTCAGTGAGTCCACAGGTTCTGAGATGGAGGGAGACCACATAAAATGAAGGCGATTTTACCTTAGGCTACTGGGTACAAATGAGTCGGGTTCCTACAGCATCTCAACATTGTAACAAACATTTGAGGACCTGCCTACGGCTTTACACGGGAAATTAGAGCTGTTAGCCATCCACGCTTCTGGGTTTGGCTTAAGTGCAGCCTGGGGACACGTACAGTGTAGACAGTCCAGGCAGCGCTCCGTCCACTGACGGCCCTTGGCAGCCCGGCCTGCTCCGTGGACATGCTTTTGCTGGTGCCTTACAGGGTGCAAGGGCTGGCATGAGGGTTTCCTCTTAACAGAAAGCAAGGCTGGTCTGAAGGAGCTGGTTTTACAAGTGCCAGCTAACGTGCCCGTGCTGTCCCCCACCCGCGTCTGAGAGCTGGCCCTGAAAGGCTGCCTCAGGCCCGTGGAGCAGGTGCTAAGAAGCAGTCAGTGACAAGCTTTTGTTCGCAACTTGTTTAATAAGTAAAGGGCAGTAAAAACAGGTCGGCTTGAATACATTCCTGGAACGCTGCATCCAGAGAGGATTCCGAATAGCTGAGTTATGGAACTGGACTCAAAGGTTGGAGTTTAAATTTTGAAGACCTAATTCTTGGGATTGTGGTAACTTAACTTATGAAAATTAAATACAGAAATGTCAAGGCTCTTCGCTAACAGCAGGGGCAAAGACTGGCAACAGGAGTGGATGGGATAAAGGCAACCAATCAAAATCACTTCCTCTTGTAACCAAGGTAACACTTTAACATAAATTATACATTCATTGTGGTGTTTTAAAACAGCCACGCCTAAATAAGTTCTTCACGCCATCAAAAGATAAGCACCCTCAAACCTCCAGCACCACGCATTCACTTGGCAGCTCTCGACTGGCCACAGCTACTGGGGCGCCTGCTTCTCCAGCTTAATGAAGCCTGGCAACCCCTGTATAGAAAAATAAGACGACATTTAAACCTCACCAGACCAGGCATCTGACAGAAAACCCACGAAGGATGACACCAGGTCAGCTAAAGCCAGCGGTTCTCAAAGGTTAGCTTGCACCCAGGCCGCCTGGAGGCTGGCACAAAGGGCTCCGTGGGCCCAGGGCTGGGGGCTGCTGCTGGTCCAGGAACCCTGGGTGAGGGCCACCGGCGAAGCAGCGGTAAGGCAGCACTGCCTCCCTCGGAGCCAGTGGCAACACCAGCCCCATGGAGAGCAGTCACCCGCAGGGGCGGTGGAGGTGGCCCTCACGCGTGACACCACCGCTCACACTTGTCAGCGAGAAGTCCTGGCTTAGCCAGCAAGGAGTGCCTCTGCCCGCAGGCCTTGCGCTTTACGACAGCCGTACACAACCCACTTGAGATGTTTCCGCTAATGCTGAGAAAGTCTACCCTCGGGGACAGAGAGATGTAGAAAGAAAGGGAAAGGCACCGTAATGAGGTCATCCTTGGAAACGATGAGGGTCTTTTTCAGACTTCACTTTAACGTCAAGCCCAACATTCTGAGAGGTCATCTCTCCATCACTGTGCGGGCCAGAAGCGGGCCAGGGGCCAGAAGCGGCCGGGTCTGCAGTCACCACCGACTCTAAGCGGGTCTCGGACGAGAGAACCCTGAGCAGCCCGGAAGACAGATGGCCACCCAAGTGCCACCGGAAGGTACCGTGTAAGAGGTCCCTGGGAAGACCTAGCGAGGGCTGGGCAGAGCCACGTCTGAGTCTGGGTAAGACAGTGACTCAGCAGCAACACAAGGGCCTTGGGACCAACGGCCACATGGGCCGGCCCGCCTCGCCTGGCTAGTCTGCAGGGTGCAAGGCCACCTGAAGGTCAGAGGCTTGGCCAGGCTGGTGTGGTCAGGGTTTCCCTGAAAAAGGTACTTGTAGCTGTGAGACACCAACACCAGAACACAACTTAGCCATGAACTTCCTAAAACAAGGGCTTGCAAGTAAAATGCACGTAAGTCCAAAGAGCAGCCAGCAGCTGCCCCCCAGGAAGGGGCTCAGTCCTGGCCATTGCACTGGTCCTGGCTGCCACGCTTCCCACAGCCACCCTCTACACTAGGGGGCGCTGCCCATTTCCAAACTGAAGGGGGTAGGGGCTCTGCCCAGCGGGCGCAAAAGGGCGCAAAAGGGGCAGTTTCGGGGTCTGGGAACTGCAAACTCAAACTGCCGCTGCCAGTAGCTAAGGGGAAGCTCATTTGGTCTCTGTTCGCTACCAGCCTCTTCCTCACGGTCCAAGGAAGCTTGACCCTGCCCTCTGGCCTCACTGCCCACCTGCCCTGCGCCGAGCCGGTGTCACAGGCAAGGCTGGCAGCCGGCAGCCAGCACAGGTGTGCACCGAAGGGAAGGGGCTCCCCGGGCCGCTCCCATCTCCACGTTCTCCACACTCAACACAAAGGCAAGCGTCATCTTAGCGCATTGCTTCTAGCACTGAGGTACAACATGCCTGCATCTGCTTCCCTCATGATCCGATCTAAGATTGTTACTATTGCTTCTTCCAGAGGACCGCGAGAACAACTTACATCCTAAAAAAGAAACTCAATTTGCTGAAAAAACAACCATGGGGAAAGCGGCTGCTGTCCCCCCACCCCAGTCATTTGGCTCACACGCGCGCCCAGGCTCCGCCCGCTTCAGGAGGCGTCCCTGGATATCCAGCCGCTCTCCGTGAGGAAGTTTAAAATCCTTTTCTTCAGGACCTTGTCCAGGTAGCTGGGCAGGCGGCTCTTGGAGGGGATGCCCTGGCGCTTCTGGAGGTGGTCTTTGATGATGATGGTCTTGGCGGTCACGTAGCGCGCGGGGCTCAGGTTCAGGGAGCTGCAGAGCGCCTTCTCGCGGTCCGACAGCAGCTCGAAGCCCGGCAGGTTCTCGATGGCGGCGAACTCGCCGTCCTTGGCGTCCTCCCGCCCGCGCTTGGCGCCCGCCGAGTTCCGGTTCTCCTTCCGCTTCTCCCGCTTGTGCCGGGCCGCCTCGTACTCGGCCGACTCCTCCATCTTGGTGATCCCGTTGCGCCGGTACCGCTGCAGCTCCCGGATCTTGGCGCGCAGCATCTTCTCCTTGTGCATGTTCTCGAACAGGTCGTCGAACTCCTTGCAGGACATGAACTGGTAGAGCGGCCGCAGCTTCAGCCGCAGCTCCCGCTCCTCCTTGGTGATCTTGCGCTTGGCCGCCTTCTCGCGCTCCTTCTTGTCCTTGCCCAGGAAGGCCGGCACCAGGTTGTAGTCGCGGGCGATGTTCTTGCGCCGCTGCCGCTCCCGGAGCTTCCGCACGTACATGTCCACGTGCGCGCGCTTGAGCTCGATCTCCACGTCGTCGTCGTCGTAGTTGACCGAGAGCCCGCTGATGAGCGTCTCGGCGTCCTGGTCGTACTCGATCTCGTAGTCGTCGCGCAGCGGCATGTAGCCCAGCTGCTGCTGCTCGGCCACCGAGATGTCTAGGGGAGGCAAGGGGGTGGTGAGGCTGGGAGAGAGGGGGCCTCCACTGGGGCAGGTGTGGTCGGTCACCCGGTTGGGGATGGTGTCGGGGATGCAGGCCTTCCCCAGGTTGCCGTGGATGTACATGCTTACGTAATGCTCCATCACTTCCTGGGGAGTCCGGGAGGCCCCTACGTGAGCAGCCATATCTTCCTACAACGACAAAGGTCAGAGTCATTCCCAAAGCCAGAGGTCAGACTCAGGGTCTGACAAATCCCCTCAACCTTTCCCCAAGGCGACCTGGACTCCTCCTGTCCCAGCATGACCCCTCCCCAAACAGTCCACGCCCTCTCCTGTGAATCCAGAGATGTGGACACTCGCCAGGCCTCAGCGGGACCCGGCAGCAGAGCTGAGACCGGAGCCCTCCTCTGAGATCCGAACTGGCTCCTGGTTCCGGGAATAGACTAGCAGGGCCCGCCGGGTGCTGGCGTTTCGCCCATTAGTGCTGCATCTGAGGCGGGAGGGTGTCTGTCTGTGAGTGGACACAGGTGGGCAAGGCCACAGAGCACCGGGTGCCCTGCTCCTCCCAGTCTAACCTCTTCATTCCCAGACTAGAGAACAGAGTGGTCCAGAGTTCATGGCCAGGTCCCCTGGCTACAAGAGGGACCCCATTCTACTCTGCTGCCCGCCTCTGGGCACCGGAGGGGCCCCGCCTCTGTGGCTGACACTCCCTGGCTGGGAAGCGCCTCCGAAAGGGGCGGGCTCTCATTTCCGACAGCCCCGTGCTGACAGCCCCGTGCTTCGTCGCTCTCTGAAGTCTGCGGGGCTGAGCACTCACTCTGCGAGGTCACCATGCACATCAGGGTTATTAATGGGAGGAAATTGTACAACTCCCTCAATCCTTTCCTTCTGCCAAGAGACCTCTTCCTTAACTCAACCGCCAAAGCCACTTCAGAAAGCAAGTGCCCCAGCAGCACTCAGCGCCCGCAGCCTCCACCCCCCTCCACCTGCTCTCCTCACACACGCTGCCTTCCGCCCAGCAACCCTCACCCCGCAACATCGGGGTGGTTTCTGTACCCCCACAGGCCAAATTGGAACCCAAGAAACCAGCCTATCCATGCGACTGGGCTGATGACAAGGTGGGCATGGCAAAGAGGGAAGTGTTTGTGGTGCGGTGACCAGACCCTACATCTGAGGCCCCAGTCAGGGCCCGCGCCCCTGCAGGCACTCCCGCCGGGCACTGTGGTGCCGAGGGCGGGGCTTACGACACAGGAACAGAGAAGGCCATGCTGGGACCTACCTTGAGCAAAGGGAAGGTCAGAGCTAGAACTCGTCCTGGTCTCATGGGGATGAAATTTACATGCTTTCTTCTTTAAAAAGTCAAGAGCCTCAACTCTGTTCGTTATATTTTCCCAGGAAGCATTTGGTCCAAAAAGAAACACCAAAACCAAACCACACGCATCTACTGCCACTCTGTGACCCAGGCTGGCCACGTCCCACCTCTGACTGCCCAGCGGGGGTGGTGACTACAGGCACGGTCGAGCCTAGCCCATCAGCTTCTCCGAGGCTGCAGCTGCTACAGAGTAAGGATAGTTTGCAGGGGCCTCCCGGGCAAGGAAGCTGAGTGCCCTTATGGGAGGCTCGGCTCAGAGGGGCTAGGCTGCGAACCCCGCTGCATGTCAGGCATTCAGGCCCGGGCCTCGCCCCCTCCCAGGTCCAGTGAGGCCTGCAATGCAGCGCCAGCTGCCCTCCCAACGAGCCTGCCGCTCTCCTGAGCCTCAGCATCAGCAATCTGCCTCCGAGTCCTCAGCAGCTCAGAGCACCACATTCGGGTAAAACTTAAATCCGGAAAGAACAGAAGGCTTCTGGCTAATCAAGGGGTACCTGACCAAACCGAGATGATCTGTTCCTGTTTTCATTTATCTCCATCAACGTCAGCACTCTGGGAGCAGAGCGCAGGCAGCAAGGCAGCCCCAGGGCAAGGGATGCGTGGGCCACGTGGGGCAGCTCCGTCCCCTCCAATGCTCACCAGGGTCTCCTGGGCCGGGCAGGCCGGAGGGCCAGTGTGGGCACTGTGCGGACACTCGGCTGTCTTTAGGTTACAGAGGGGACTTTGCTCTCGGAGGCTCCATGTGAAGCCACAAATCAGAGGGACAGGAGCCAGGCGCTCCCATGAGTACAGCCTCAGCCACTGCCCAGGACAACTAAGCCTCACTAGGAGCCAGGGCTCAGCGATTCCTGAAAGGCAAGCGCCTCTCAGGGCACCACGCCACTGAATGAGTCAGGAAAACACACAGACCCTAATCTTCAAGACCTGTGCAACTGAGAGTGAGGGTCCTTGTGGACCAGCCCACGGACAGCACTGCTCTGGTTCTAACGGGAGTCCGTGCCGTGAGCTCCCCCTGAGGAAGGGCGTCTAACGTGACTGACTGAGCGCCGGCTTCCGCACCCCACTGCGAGCTGGCACCTGCCGGCTCAGTCCCAGTGCCCCCTCCAGCCTTCCACGTGCCGGTGGTCACGCAGCACTGCCGCCTCCTGCGAGTGCGAGACGCGTCCTGTCACCGCACTGCGGCAACACTCCGGACAGCAGCAGACCCCTGGGGCGGCTCTCCCGCACGTGTGCCAAGGCCAAAGTGTTTCTCTGATCTGGATGGATGGATGGATGGGTGGATGGATGGATGGGTGGATGGGGAGGCAGAAGCAACAGAACTTTACTTGGGGAATGAGATTTGGAGAGAAAGTTCAACTCAAGTACAACTAAAACAGGGAACACGCTGTCCTGAAGTGCCCCTCCCCCTCACACACACAGCTCGCAGTGACAGCGGGGACGCAGCCCAAAGCCTACGGAAGCCGGGTTCCAGGTTTGTTCCTTCCTTCATGTTCTCTTAGAAGAAAAAGAGCCTCCCACCTTCGGAAAGAGAGAGACGGGTGTGCTCCTTCTCTAAAGCCCTTGGAAAAGGGTAAGGTGTCTAAGACACGAGGCCCAGGAGGTCTCCTTTCCAAGATCCCTGGACGCTGCCTCCAGGAGAGGAAGTGGGAAGTGCTCTGGGGCCTGGCCTCCCCGCTGCCTCCTCACGGCTCCCCGTGCTGGCCTCCAGCACCTGCCCAGGAAGAGGACGCGAACAGTCCAGAGAAATCATCGTCAATGTGGTCGGCGGCTCCCACCAGTGGGGCTGGCTCAGGGTTCTCTCCTCCGGGTTCCAGCCAGAGCCACCGCCACCGTCCTGACCTGGACACCCCCACACAGGGACTCAACGGCCAAACCTTTGGAGGCTCCCATCAGGGAACCACGGCCTCTCACACAGGGCTGCCGCCATCTAGGGTGAAATGGAAAAACACAGGGAGGCCGACGCGGACTTTCCTAAAAGCTAAACTTTGCCATTTAAAGGATGGCCCCTCATCCTTAGCATCTGGGTGTGTTTAAGATCATCTTTCTCTTTGTGAAATGGTGATAGCTAATTGGCCTTTAGACATTTGTTCACTATCCTTACTTGGCGAACCTAACGTCAGCAATTTCCTTTCAACATGAACGGTCTACAAAGTCTGAAGGTCTGGGCAGTGCGCACCTGCCAGGTCAGCCACGCTCCTCCTGCCGTCCAGGGGCCTTGCAGACCCGCCCCCGCCCCTCCCCCGCTGGAAGTGCCTTCTCTGGGTGCAAGGGCTCTGGGGCAGCCTTTGGGCTTCCAGTCCTGGCTCCACCCCTTAGGAGCTGACAACGGGAACACACTGCTTAGCCTGTGCCTCAGCCGCCTCCTCTGAGTTACGAAGGTATTGCACGACCTACTGCACAGCACGGGGAGGACGGGGAAGTGCGGTCATGCCTGTGCAGCTGCCAGTGCCCGGCGTGGGGCTGTGTTCCCTCCATGGTGGCGCCTGTTACTGCTATGAAGCTGTTAGCTTCCTCCACAGGACACAGTCACCTCCTCCAGGAAGCCGTCAATGGGCCCAGAGCTGGGTTCCGATTCTGGCTCAGTGACCCTGGCTGTGAGAGCCTCATCCTATCAGCTTCTGCTCCTCCATCGGTAAGCCTCCTCTCGAAGGGCTTTGTCAGACAGAAGAGAAATCACATGACAGGAAGTCTCCCTGGGAGTGCATGCCAAGGTCACCTCACCTCACCTCCTAGCACAGTGATGGCGAACCTATGACACGCGTGTCAGAGGTGACACGCAAACTCATTTTTTTGGTTGATTTTTCTTTGTTGAATGGCATTTAAATATATAAAATAAATATCAAAAATATAAGTCTTTGTTTTGCTGTGGTTGCAAATATCAAAAAATTTCTATATGTGACACGGCACCAGAGTTAAGTTAGGGTTTTTCAAAATGCTGACACGCCGAGCTCAAAAGGTTCGCCATCACTGGCCTAGCAGTTCCCACCGGCAGGAGCAGCCCAGCCACACACTTTGAGGGACAGGAGACTAAACTGAGGCTGAGCAGCCCCCGAGGTCTGTCCCCACACCAGTGCCGATGCTGATGACACAGAGGAGGAGGGCTGACCAAATGCGTCCTGGGGCTTGAAACCAGCAGAGCGAGGCCGACGGGCTGCTTCTGTCCAGACAAAGGCGCCCACCCTCTCAACTCCAGGCGCTGGGTCCGGTAAGGGACTGTGGCACCTACTTCTGCTGGGGACGGAGGATGCAGTTGTGTCCGCAAACGCAAAGGGCTGCTATCCTTAGCTCCACAGCCGTCCTGCTGTGCAGGTGGGCAGTTCTGACCACCCCCCCGCAGCACTCTGAATGTGCAGCAACCCCCCACCCCCACCCTTCTCCCTGCGGGTCTGGGCTGGGAAGCACTCTGAGGCAGCTTTACCCCCCCTTCCCCCCTGCTCTGCAGCCAGGCCTGGGGGTTGGGGGGGAGAGGAGCAGCGGGGATTTCCTTTAAGGGATGGAAGCGACCAGAGGCCCACCGCATGGAGCTGCGGCTCCCGGGGGTCCCGGGCACCAGCACTGAGGGGGCGGAGGGGGAGCGGAGGCCTGCACAAGGCCAGGAGAGAGCAGTCTCCGAGGGACGTGGCGTGCCCCAATGGATGGGGAGGGCCCGTCCAGCTCCAAGGGCGGAGTGAGGCAGGCCGGACGCCCGTGGTCCTGGGCAGCTGCGGGGCCAGCAGACTGGGAGCCCTGGTGGGGGCACTGCCAGGATGACCCTCAGCCCTTGGCTCATGTCCAGAGTGCTTGGCATGTGTCTGCTCTCACACGCTGGCGGCAAAGGCCAGCG